CCCCCGCGCCGGGAGGGGGGTTCCCCGCTGCCCTCTCCCCGGCACTGGCGCTGGAGGCAGAGTTAAGGTGGCCCTGACGTGGGGTGGGGGCAGGGGCGCTTCCCTGCTTCGTTGCGGTGCTTTTAATGAGCTGGGTTGTATTTAGCTGGTGTCCCTGCGGGGAGGAGCTCCATTTTGTCCACCTTCCCCTATACGTGCTGACGTTTGTGCTTTTGACCCACTTGTTGCTTCCTTGTCCCCTTCTTGTCCCGATGCCAGAATGAGATAGATGAGCTGAGGACGGAGATGGACGAGATGAGGGACAGTTTCTTCGAGGAGGACGCTTGTCAGCTTCAAGAAATGCGCCACGAACTGGAGCGAGCCAACAAGAACTGCCGGATCCTTCAGTACCGGCTGCGCAAGGCTGAGCGCAAGAGGCTCCGCTACGCCCAGACTGGCGAGATCGACGGTGAACTCTTGCGCAGCATGGAGCAGGATCTCAAGGTATGGACGTGAACTGGTGTCAGGGAAAGGGAGCACCTCACATGGAGACACGAGCGTGCTCTCGGTCCTCATGACTCAGACATTTCCATCCGTTCTGTCATACACTGTGGACCCAGTGCAGCTCATGGAATAGCAATGGCCAAGCTTACTTTGGTAACAGAAGCCCTTCAGTGTGTAGATAGGCTATTTTCAGCTTAGTCCAATCATTTGTTGTGAAGTTAACGTGCAAGAAGTGACTCAAGTACAAATTAGGATCTAGATGTTTTGGATCTTTTATGATGAACACAAAACGTACCCTACCACCGCAAAATTAAACCAACCTCACTGAATCGTCCCATTGACTTTGAGGAGATTACTGTACTCTTTCGTAAAGATTTCAGAGGGCGGGTAGATTGAATACTTTCAGAGTCACAACACGAAATCCTGACTTCATTGGTGTCAGTGGAAAAACTGCTGCTATCTTCAGTGAAGGCAGGATTTTCCACATCCACGTGAAACCAGAAACACATCAAATTTCAATGTGTAATCAACTGCATTTAGTCCATAACATCTGAATGACCTACAACCCATTGTTGAGGAAAAGTTCCAGTCCTTGTTTAAAGATTGTTATTGGTAAAATAACCATCATCTCATTTCTAGATTAGTCCAATTACAGAAGAAAAACCTTTTCTTGCGCTAGTTGCAAGTTGTTTAATTTCTGCTTCCATCCACTAGACTTTGTTAAGGCTCCTAATCAGGACTCCCAAACCTCTTTCAGTTGACAAGCCTCCCTCCATTTCTCATGGAAGTACAGACCTATGTATAGCAACATTTGTCCTCTGTATAGGACTAGACACCTAAGACTCGTTGGATTCGGTGGACTGAAGTTGAAAATGCTAATTTAATACATGATCCGGAACAAGGTCATTCTTATACTTCTTTCTGATAAGTATAATGAATTGAGAGTCTGTTATTCCCAAGCCTGGTTTACAGACTTGGATAATCTTTTCTGAAAATTTTCCAGTTTGTCATCGTTCTTATTAAGATAGAGACACCAGTCCAAGACACATTCCAGCAGTGTTCTCCCTAATGCCATTTAAAATGCCAATATCCTTCCCTGTATTTCTGTTTGATATTCCTTTCCTGTGCATATTTAAAAGCCACATTTGCTGTTGTGGCTGTGACAGTTCTGCAAGTAGAGCTTTTCATGTGGCTCTTGACAAAATAGTGTCTTCCTGGTCGGAAGCAAAATGACCTTTTTGTCAGGGGTCAGATGGGATTGCTGATCGAAGCAAGGGACATTTTGCACACTTACAGTGATACTTAGGTGAATAGTTGAGACACACACCTTTGCAGGCAGAATTTGAACATGAGCCTTCATGTCCCAAGTGAATATTGTGATTCCAGGTTATTGAGTTGATTTCTTTGTTGGCTCAATGTTACTTTGTGTTAGCTTGAGCTGGGCAAAGGGCTCACTTTAATTAGGATTTATCCCATGTCTTTCACAATAACCATACAACTGACTATTTGGAAAGGAATAGTGCTTTTGCAAAGTGTTCCCACAGATCATGAATGTGTTCTGCTTTGGAGTAGGGATGAACATCCAATGCCAATTTCTTCCTAATTGAATGCCAGATGCTGGCTCACCATAATTGTAACTCATGTACATGTACTCATGCAGTGTTCCCAAGTCTTATTCTGAAGAATTTCTATCCAAAATAATATTGTTCATTTTTCGTGAGTAATATATTAGGGGACTTAATCCTTCAGTCTTGCATTTCGCTGTATTAAAATGCATCTTGCATAAGTGAGTCCTATTTCCTTTATGATCTAGAAAGTTCTGCAGGATTTACATGCATTAATTGCTACTCCATCAAATCTTGTTTCAAAAAATCACTACCAGCAATGATTTTGTTATTTTGTTGTATTTACAGGCACAGTTTCTGATAGGATGCTGTTAAAAATGTCCCCTATGATTTTCCATTTACTGTGGTTGGACAACCAGATGAGCAGTTTAATATTGAGTGTAGGAAAAGCCCTCAAGATCTATCCTTGTGGTGTGATTCTCAGCTCATCCTGCAGTCGCTCTGGAATATGGTTATAATTGAAATTCCCCTCCACGCTCTCTTTCAGTTGGGCATTATGTGTCTTGAGTGTGCGTGCAGTGGGGGAGGTTATTGAATGATCTTGTGCTACACTGCAGTGTTGTATCTGTAATTCACACACACTGGGTTTCTTGTCAGGGGAGGCTGAGTCACTAGCTGCTGCAGCTTTCTGATAGAACGGGTTCTTCTAGACTGCTTGCTTACAGTTATTATTTATTTCTTTGGAGTTTTCATATGTCAAAGGGAGTTTTTTGACATGCAAACATTAAGATTGTTCTAGTGAAAGCCAAAAAGGATAGCTCTCCAAGCACCCCTAACTAATGCTAAAAAGGATTAATTATACTTTCCAATGTTCTAAAAAAGCAGGAAGTTAGGCTTTTCAAACTATGTGTCTGAATTACCGTCATAACAGTGATTAGTGTATATTTAAATATTTTTGGTGCATGATTATAGTTTCTGGTGGTTTCACAAAATACAATGCAAGTGGCTTGAATGGCAACATTCCTATTACTTTACATGAAGAGGAGGAATTAGATCTTGACATGTGCCCAAAAACCTTAGTGTTCATTTGCATTTAAAATATTGGACATCATTTGGGTGAACACAAGGTCAGTAAAAATGTTGTTTGTCATGTTTTAGTCTTTAAACTAACCAATAGTAGTAAATGCCAGATTAAGCATCCATGAAAGACAGAAAAACTAGCAAAGTCGAAATAAAGATGCGTTTGTTTGTGGCCCTGTACAAGGCATAGGTAGGGTAGGCCTGGAGAAGATGGGCCCTGCTTGTAGATGTTTCTGTATGTCAGGTATTTAAAGGGCATATGCCTTAGTGCATTGAAAAATATAAGCTAGCAGTGGTTGAGAGAACACAGATGCTGCACTGTCTCCAAGAATAATGGAGGTCCTGTTTCGTTATTGGCATAACAGAACCAAAGAAGGATTTGGGGTTTAGTGTCTAATGTGGTTTCCAGTGAACTCCATAGCAAGACTATACCATTTTTGGAAGAAATTGGCTTGAATTTTGAATCATTTAGAACTGTTATCTTTGGATGTCCTTGTCTACATTTCCTTTCATACTGCTTTCATCAAAACATCCAGAATTGACCTGTAGATGGTTGCTTAGATGTTAAGCACTGCAGCAGTAATTATTTATTTTAATATTTCTTTTGAAATATTCTTTCATTTAGGTTGCAAAAGATGTATCTGTGAGACTTCACCATGAGTTAGAAAACGTGGAAGAAAAACGTACTGTAACAGAAGATGAAAATGAAAAATTAAGACAGCAGCTTATAGAAGTCGAAATTGCCAAACAAGCTCTACAGAATGAACTGGAAAAAATGAAAGAGGTTAGTGTTGCTCTTTATTTCTACACAGTGTGTTTGAAGATCTCAAATTCTTATTGCTGAACTAACTGTTTTTCTTCCTATAGCTTGGTTTGGGCGCAAAAATATATGGCAAGCAAAAGCTGGAAGTTCCAAAGAGTGCTGAAGTGCAGTTTGGTGACTGGGAAGCTGAGAACAAACTAAAATATTCAGTGTTTCCTAAGTGAAACAGAAACCAAACTGTGTCCTTGTTTTTCCTATACAAGGAGGGAAATGTGGAACTGATGGTAACAGAGTTCAGAAGCTTTGAGACATTGTACTTAGGTTAAGATACATGCAGAAAGAGTGCTGAAGGGAGTCAGGAGCATCTAACTTTGCAGATGTTCCCCACAGGTTTTTACGAAGACCACTTTTTTGGGACTAGCAGACACACTGAGACTGGTCATCTAACCACCTCCTCATCTTGTTCAGTTATGCTCTTTGGAGTGTTGGAAAGTGGCAGACTCTACCTGGCATTTCAGTCTAAGCATAATTTTACATTATATCTAGTTCATCTTCAAAATTACTCCATTTTCCATTATAGATGCAAGATACTATGCCATTAAGTAAGCAGAAAATTGTATTACAGCAGTAATAGCCTGGCCAACAGAGATAACAAAGCATGCAGTAAAAAGAGAAATTGTTGACTAAGAATGACTTCTCAGAACAGATTTTAAGAACAGCTCTTCAGTTCAATGTTTAAAATTCAATTAATGCCACTAATTTTCACTTCTAGTCCTAGTCCCTAGCAGG